CAAAAAAAAAAAAAAAAATACAAAGAAGACCTTATTCTTGGGGAGGGAATAGTTGTTCATAATCACAGCAAAAGTATTCGGGAAATAGGAGTCATCTCTATAGGAAATGTATAGAGCCCATGTGGCACAAAGTCTAGAACTCTTCTAAAAGATCATTTAAAAAAAAAAAAACAAAATAAAGGGAGAGGTTTTCTTTTTTTTTTTTTGAGTTGGAGTCTCACTCTGTCACCCAGACTGGAGTGCAGTGGCTGCTTCCGGCCACCGCAGCCTCGACCTGCTGGGCTCCAGCAATCCTTCCACCTCAGCCTTCCAAGTAGCCGGAATTACAGGCATGTGCTACCACGCCCAGCTGATTTTTTGATTTATTGTAGAGATGAGGTCTCGCTGCCCAGGCGGGTCTCGAACTCGTGGGCTCAGGCAATCCACTTACCTCAGCCTCCCAAAGGTGCGGGATTACAGGCTGAGCCACCGAGCCCAGCTCAGATTTTCTTTTTAATTACTTATTTTTTTGAGTCAAGGTCTCGCTCTGTTACCCAGGCTGGAGTGCAGTGGCACGATCAGGGCTGCCCATCCTGGGCAGGTGTTCTTTCTATCTCAGCCTCCCAAGTAGCTGGGACTACAGGTGCAAGCCACCATGCCTGGCTAATTTTTCATTTTTTGTAGAAATGAGGTCTCTCTATGTTGCCTAGGCTGGTCTCCAACTCCTGGGCTCAAGCAATCCTCCTACCTTGGCCTCCCAAAGTGCTAGGATTACAGGCATGAGCCACTGCCTGCCAAGATTTTATTTTTTAGATGAGAAGTGTCAGTGTTGCAAAAATGTCACTTCTCTCTAAATCACTAAATCAGCACAGTGTAAATTCAGTGCAGTTCCCAAAATATTCCAATATAATATTTACAATTTGATAAATGATTCCACAATTATTCTAGAAGAATATGTGAACCAGTGAAATTCTAAAAAAGAACAGAAAGGAAGGGCAAGATTTACTCTTATAAACTGTATTGTAAAACTACAGATGGACCAAGGGAACAGAAATATGCCTATAGACTAAAAATAGGCCCAAGTATAAGAGAATTTAGGATATGATAAAAGTGAGTATTTCAGTTCAGTTGGGGAAACAAGACAAAGTATCCAGTAAATGTTATTGGAATTGTTACTGGTCTATTTGCAGAAGAAAACTAAAGTAGCTAAGCACATTCTAATTCTGGAGGTATTCATGATGTAGTTAAAACATAGAAGCTTACATGTATAAGAGCAAATTTAGCTGATTTTTTCCAGTAATCTTAGGAGTAGGAAAGGACATAACATCAAACTAGAAATAAGAAAGTGCAGTTATGTTTGTCAGCACAATAATTCAACACTCCTGAATAGTAAAACAGCAACAACAACAAAACCGTAAACAAAATGAAGACACAACAAACTGGGAACAAATATTTGCAACATAAATGATGAAGTGTTGCTACTCTGATATATAAAGAAATATTATCAGAAGATATTTATATTCCCACTCACAAAAGAAAAAAGTGACTAACAATAAGTAAAAAGATGATTAGTAAACAAATTTAAATTAAAACAACGGTAAAAGATTTTCCTCACCTATCAGCTTAGCAAGGATTGCATCTAACACTGAGTGTTGGTTAGGATGTAGGGAAATGTATGTGCAGTGCTGGCTAGATGTCAGCTGCACCTTGCTCAAAGACAGTTTGTTAGTATGTATCAGAATCAGGAGTGCATGTTCATTGACACAGAGTTCTTTGCCTAGGAATGTATCCTAAGGAAATACACACACATGGATTTTTAATGTCATATTTTTAATATTAAAGAATTGGAAAATAATTCAGTAAGTACCTGATTATAGTATATGCATAGTAGAGTTCTGTGTAGTTATTTAAAATGATGTAGGCTGGGCTGGGTGGCTCAGCCTGTAATTCCAGCACTTTGGGAGGCCAAGACGAGTGGATTGCCTGAGCCCACGGGTTCGAGACCAGCCCAGGCAACTTGACGAAACTTCGTCTCTACAATTTAAAAAAAATTAGCCTGGCATGGTAGCGCACACCTGTAGTTCCGGCTATTTGAAAGGCTGAGGCGGAAGAATCACCAGAGCCCAGCAGTTTGATGCTGGGGTGGCTGTGAGCATGCCACTGCACTCCAGCCTGGGCAACAGAGTGAGACTCTAACTCAAAAAAAAAAAAAAAAAAAAAAAGATGTAGCTCTATGTTGATTTGTAGCATTAAGTACAAAAAAATCAGGTCACAAAACAGTATCTGTAGTATGGTCCTATTTTATGCTTTATATTTTATACAGTCTATCTAGTAGACATTAAAATTTCTGGAAGGATATATGTTCCTAAAACAAAATAGTTGTTATCTCTAAGTGGTGATGGATTCATCTGTGATTTTTTTACCTCCTTTTTTTTGTTTGTACTGTTACAGTCTTGTACAATGATCATGAATTACTTTTATAATCAGAATAAACACACATTTGTGTTAAACATAGTCGTTGTAATCTAGTTTATTTTGTTTGTAGTGGAGCATAGGTTCTTGCATTTCTCCTACAATGACTCTTCATGTATGAGTGTCCAACCAAGGCAGAAGGATCACTGGAGTCCAAATAAGAATCATAGTACCCTTATCTACAGAGCAAGAAATCATCATTTTTAAAAAAAATAATACTTACTTTTAGTTTTGCGTCACCTTTTCTCTAGGAGGCAGCATAAGTAATTTATATGTAATTATTGGCTTATAAATATTAATTATTATAAAGGTTGAGAGTTGATATACAAGATCAGATTCACAACTCTTACCCATTTTCCTGTGATTTTTTGATAGGTTTACTCATGGGGGAACAATACCTTTGGTCAACTTGGGCATTCTGATTTTCCAGCAACGGTTCCTCGTCTTGCAAAGGTACTTCTGTGAATGTGATGGCAATTTATTCCAGAATTCTATGCTATAGCACTTTACATTTTTCCATTTGTTGTTTTTAAAAAATTAGAAGAATTGGGCCAGGCATAGTGGTTCCAGTCTGTAATCTTAGAACTTTGGGAGGCCGAAGCAAAAGGATTGCTTGAGCTCAGGAGTTTGAGAACAGCCTGGGCAATGTAGTGAGACCTTGCTTCTACAAAAAAATTGAAAAATTAGCCAGGCATGGTGGTTCTCTTATATAGTCCCACCTACTCAGGAGACTGAGGCAAGAGGAGCCCAGGAGTTTAAGGCTAAGGTGAGTCATGATCATACCACTGCACTCCAGCCTGGGAGACATAGAGAGACCTGGACTCAAAAAAAGAAGAAAACAATAGGGGAGTTATATATTAATAAACTAAATTAGTTTTGATTTTTTTTTTTAAGAGGGTCTTACTCTGTCACCAAGGCTGGAGTGCAGTGGTGCAATTATAGCTCAGTGCAGCCTTGAATTCCTGGACTCAAGTGACCATCCTGCCTCAGCCTCCTGAGTAGCTGGGACTACAGGTGTGTACCACTATCTAACTTTTTAAATTTTTGTAGGCATAGAGTCTTAACTATGCCACCTAGCTGGTCTCAAACTCCTGGCCTCAAGTGATCCTCCCACTTCAGCCTCCCAAAGTGTTGGCATTACAGGTGTGAGCCACTGTGCCCAGCCTATTTTGATATTCTTTAAAATTTTTTTTTACTAAACATGAAGCCACTTGTTTCAAGCTAAATGTCCTTTTTTATGTATTAGTTTGTATTTCTTTTCTTAGCCTCAACTATTCGTTGAATATTCATAGTTTTGTTTTTAAGTAGAAAATGAAAAGGTGATTTTTTTTTAAAACATGCTTCCAGGACTGTGATGTTTTCTGAGCTTTACCATTTGGTGAATGTCTACTCTTTGATTTTTCAATTGAGTTTGACTTTTATATAACATTATTTGGTGGTGTAATGTTTGTGTGTGTGTTTTTTAGTAACATGCAAGGTAGTAAAACCTTTTTGTAAGTCTTCTCATTTTCTGTAGAGAAGCTAGAGTATAGATGATTTTTTTCACTGTTGGATGAATTGGTTTTCATATATGTAATGCCATGGAGAGATTGGTGGCTTCTAGTCCCTTGGATGTAATTTTGGAGCAGTGTTTCTCAACCCCATTTTCTCCTCCAGTACCCTGAGAAGATGCCAAATCCTTATCAGTAGTATTGACTCCTTAGACAGGGGTTTGGCTTGTCGGTGGAGGTGGGGAAGTGCACGCGGGCATCACAGAGCGAAATGTGGAGCTCTGCCCTGTGACTTGACTCTGTTCTCCCCAGCCCCAGACATGCTCCCTCTGGGTTAATAGAGACTAAAAAACATGGCACCTCCACTTAAGGAACATGGTTTGAATGCAAGAAGCAGTTAATACTCCAGTAATTCACATATGCAGTGTGCACTGTATATGTATCCATCACTATCTAAGGCTTTCACATGCTGCCTGTTCTTTCAGTGAACTTGATTGTACTAGAAAGAAATGACTTAACAAAACCTTAGGGGATAGTTATTACTTCCAGCTCCAATTTTAAATATTTTCATTATAGAACATTTTGGTAGTAAGCTATTTAGTTTCTGATGTTTTATTACAAGGATATAGCAAATCATTGTTCCTTGTTTTTTGTTTATTTGAGTAAATTAAAAAATGCACTTGTCCATACTAAGGAGAGTTTTGTAGTGTAGCTGAAGACCCTGGAAATCAGACGTTTTACCCTTTTAGGGTTAGACGAGAGAATAGTTTGTTTTAGGATTCTAGTTTCATACCTCTTTAACTGTACATGCAAAAATTACAGCATTAGGATCTTGGTTTTTTATTTGGAAGAATGAGGAAAAAAATCTTTTGAAGTCATTCTGTTTAGTCTGTGAGAATTAAAAGTCAAAGTAAAATGAAATTTGAATTAGTTTTAACTAGAGACCACGAAGAAGACTCTTTCCTTCTGCAGAAATTTTAATGTATCCTTTGTAAAATGAACAGGAAGTCAGTTTTGAGAAGATGGTGTCATGCCAGATGAAAATAGTTATAAAGTAATAGAGAGACACACACACACTCACGCAGTCACTTGTGATTTGGAGCCTATCCGGATCTAACTGATTAGGGGTTTTTTTGTTGTTCACCAGCCCAGGAGTCATCACTGAAACTGTTTGGACACAAAGGAACTAACAGATTAGGGGTTTTGTTTTATTTTGTTTTTGAGTCGAGATCTCACTCTGTTGCCCATGCTGGAGTACAGTGGCGTGATCACAGCTCACCACAGCCTTAAACTTCTGGGCTCAGGTGATCCTCCTGCCTCAGCCTCCTGAGTAGCTGGGACTACAGGTACATGGTACCATGCCTGGCTAATTTTTAAATTATTTTTTGTAGCGACCAGATCTTACTATGTTGCCCAGGCTGGTCTCGACCTTCTAGGCTCAAGCAATCCTGCCTCAACCTCCCAAAGTGCTAGGATTATGGGCTATAAGTCACCATGCCTGGCCAGTTTTTGTTCTTTGATACAAAGTCTCACTCTGTTGCCCAGCTGGAGTATGGTGGTGTGTTCACGGCTCACTGCAACCCCAAACTTCTGGGCTCAAGTGATCCTCCCACCTCAGCCTTCCATAGTACTGGGACCACAGGTATGAGCAACCATGCCAGCTAAATTAGCATTTTTTTGTTTTTGTTTTTTGTTTTGTTTTTTAAAAAGTCTAGGAGTCAAGGCTGAAGCTGGGTCTGGAGGTTGGGTTATAGTCTTATCACATACACAAAACAGACAAATTAGGAAGTACTGGCACCTGCCTTACCGTGATGGCTTCTGAATCACTGTGTGGAAACCTAAGGTTTGAAAATCCCTGATTTAAATCGAGGGTTCTCAGACGTCGGCATACATCAGAATCACCTGGAGGGCTTGTTAAAACAGTGCTGGCTCCCACCCTCGTAGCTCTGCAGCCTGAGAACTTGTGTTTGTGTCTTGGGTGACAGCTGCTGCTGCTGGGACCACTCTGTGAGATCCCCTGGTCTAGGGGATCCACGTAGATAAACTTCTAGGGGCTCCTGCCTGGTTCAGCATTCCAGGAATTGACTCGGTAAAGTCTCATCTGAGAGATAGAGAGTTTTTGAAGTGGGAAAATGGAATTTTAACGCCCCAGAGTTTAGTTGGCCGAATGGAATTTAGACTGATTAGATTGTTTTCTTTTTACCTTGATCGTTGTGCATACAACCAAATGTGGATAGCCAGAGGTATGTTATGGTTTATCACTTTAGAGTAGGGCTCTAGAAGTTTCTGAATCTCTTCATTGTAATATAGTCTAAGTCCTTGCAGACTTCCAAAAATAACAATAAAACATTAGAACTGTGGTTTTTTTCTTTAAATTCCAGTTTTTCAGATTTTTGTAAAAACAATTCAGTTATAAATTTAAAAACTGAACAAGAGATTCCTTCTTACTCCTGTCTTGTTCTGCATTTGATTGGACACATTGCTGGGTGAGTTTTGCCCTCTTAGACACGACTGATTGTACCTTACCTGTTCAGGCAGCCTCACATTTCAGTTTCTGTGGACCTGAAGTCCCCTTTGGTCACCTTCATCTTGGACAGACAGTATCTTTCTGTCATTGTAGATAAGCAGTGAGAATGGAGTCTGGAGTGTGGCTGCCGGCCAGGATTATTCCCTGTTTCTAGTGGATACTGAGGACTTCCAGCCCGGGTTATACTACAGTGGCCGCCAGGACCCTGCAGAAGGTGACAGCCTTCCAGAGAATCCCAGTGGCACTAAGACACCAGTACTTCTCTCCTGTAGTAAGGTGAACAGGAATTGGATGCTAAGGCCTGCATTCTATCACATGAGAAACCTTTTGTTTTTGTTTTTGCTTGTATGTCTGACTATTATTATCTCCAACTACCTTATTTAAAACTGCAGACCCCTTCCAGCCCTCCTTCCCTCCTTATCTTTCCTTACTCGCTCCATCGTGCCTGTCACCATCTACTGCCTTCTGTAATTGAAATATTTTGTCTGTTATCTGTTCTCTTTACTAAAATGTCAGATTCATGAGGTATTTTAGGCTCATTTACTGCCATTGCCGTCATGCACACACTTTGTAAATACTTGTTGAGTCAACTCCCTCCTGTAGAAATATTGGCAGGTTCATTTTCCAGTGAAGTGTCCTGACTGCAGTCATGGAGCCCATGGAGGTAAATTTAAATAGAAAAAGAGTATATGAATTTCTCACTGTAAGTGGGAAGTAAAAATTGCAGGGGACTGAGAAATGTTCATGGCAGACTACAAAAGACCTGACAACTGGGCGCAGTAGCTCACGCCTATAATCCCAGCACTTTGGGAGGCCGAGGTGAGGATTACCTGAGCCCATGGGTTCAAGACCAGCCTGGGCAACTTGGTGAGACCTTGTCTCTACAATAAATCAAAAAATTAGCAGGGCATGGTGGTGCATGCCTGTAGTTCCAGCTACTTGGAAGGCTGAGGCGGAAGGATCGCCTGAGCCCAGTAGGTCAAGGCTGCGGTGCCATGAGCGTGCACACTGCACTCCAGCCTGGGTAACAGAGTGAGACTCCAACTCAAGAAAAAAAAAAAGACCTGACAGACCACCAGCAGTACTCTGTGTCCCACCACATCACCGTTCCTCTTAGCTTTTCATTTAATTTTCTACTGTTTAACCCCTTACTTTCTTTTGATCTGCTTTCCTACTTCTCTTTTTCACAAACTTAAACCACTGGCCTGTTTCTGGTTCTCCTTTCCCCCATAAAGTAACTTGCATACTCAAAGTGACGTGCTGCAGGAAAGTTAACCCTTAACACTAGTACATTCTGGATTTCTTATTCCTATTGAGTAGTATATCCTGTGAGCTGTTTTTTAAGTCTTTGCATTTGTTTTTCTGGCTAGTAGATTATGATCATATGGGGATGAGATCTTTCTTGCTAAAGGCAACATTGACCAAGATTTGGCAGCTCTTGACCTGTGTGTAGCCTATAGTTTTATAGAAGCCTATAGTAGCCTGCTGATGGACTCTCCACATGCCCCCTGGAGGGTTCCACAGTCTAGATGAGAGACAAAATAGGATGATGAAGGGATGAAGGTCTGGTGTGTGTCTTTGCTTACCATGGGATATTGCCAATCTTACCATGGGATATTACCAGTCCACTGGGTCTGCAGCTTGCCTCATTCAATAGTGTTCGGAGTAAATGACAAAAGTCCCTTTTATAGAAAGTTCCTTTACATTGTACTTTCTTTTTTTTTTGAGTTGGAGTCTTATTCTGTTGCCCAGACTGGCCATGAGCATGCCACTGCAGCCTCAACCTGCTGGGCTCAGGTGATCCTTCTGCCTCAGCCTTCTAAGTAGCTGGAACCACAGGCACACACCACCACACCCAGTTAATTTTTTCTGTTTATTGTAGAGATGAGGTCTTGCCAAGTTGCCCGGGCTGGTCTCGAATCCCTGGACTCAGTCGATCCTCTTGCCTCTACCTCCCAAAGTGCTGGGCTTACAGGCATGAGCCACCACACCTGGCTTACATGGCACTTTTAAGAGATAAGTTAACTCCTAGACTCTTGATATTTTGACATACCATAGAGATCCTCTCTGCTCTCATTAATCTTATTTCATGCAAAAGGAAGTCTGAAACATGTATCTCTATCATTTAGATCTTTATATATACCCAGGGATTTTATGTTTCCAAACACCTGCAATGTGTAATAAAAGTATCTTGGAGAAAGTAGATATGTACAGTTATTTATAGATCCAAATATACATATATGACAGGGGCATACTGGCAAACCAGCTCTTAGCGCGCGCGCACACACACACACACACACACACACACACACACACAAAATCCCTGGTCTGTGGTGTTTGCAAATTTTCACAATGGCCAATTTCAGCCTACAAATGTTTTAATTACCTGCTTATAAATTTTCTGAATATTTAACAGTTGGTTCTTGTCAGCTGATATGAACCAGCTTCGGCATACCAGATTGCTACTACTAAGTCAGATTTTATCTTCAATCTTTTTATTTTCCTCTGTTTCAGCTTGGATATATAAGTAGAGTGACAGCAGGAAAAGATAGCTATCTAGCCTTGGTGGATAAAAACATTATGGGGTATATCGCCAGTCTCCATGAGTTGGCTACAACGGAAAGACGGTTCTATTCAAAATTAAGTGACATCAAATCTCAGATTCTCCGGCCTCTCCTCAGTTTAGGTAAGTTGAACCCCCTCCACCCCCGAAATCATCAGGGCTTTGCTTTCTCTCTTCTTCCTCCATCACAAATAAAGAAAACCTTTCAGGTTATGGTTTCCCTCTTTCCCTTCATTCTCCTTTTTTTGTACACAGGCATTCAGCACAGTCAACAGCTCACAAGCTGTTTCCAGTTTGTCAACATCCCAGCTGCCCCTGCCCTGCCTTCCACTCCCAGAGCCCCTTGTACTTATGAAAACAGAAGATGGAACTCTTACAATACTCATGGCAGAGAAACAGAAACCGCTTTGAGAAAGCTGACTCTCAAAGCTGGACTTCCAGACAGTACTTCTAGCCCCGTTAGCTCACAAGATCCTCCACTACCCTACCTGAATTTTTCATTGTCTTTGTTATAGTTCTTAGAATTATATCAAGTCGAGAGTTACAGGAAGTCTCTTAAAGTTGTGGCTAACTGTAAAAGTGTTAAAGATCTTGTCCCACAGCACGAATTCTTGACTCTGCCTCTTCTCTTAGCTTTATTCCACTGTGGAGAGGGACCAGAAGTGAGGAGTAGTATAGGGGACTGGGTACAATCTTCTTGGATGGGATCCCACCATCCAGACAGGTGGATGCCTGGGGGCACCAGGAGGTCAGAGAGGAGTGCAGGTTGGAGTTGGAGCTGCTGAAGATATACTTCCTTATTTCAGAATATTTCCAGCACTCAAATGTTTTCTTTCTCTCTCCTGCACTCCTCAGCTCCCCGTATGGAACCAGAATTCAGGCTACTGCTCTAGTATAGTAGTTTTGCCACATTAAGGACATTGCCTTGTGTGGGTCAGATCATTGTTTCAAATGGAAAAACATCTTTTCCGAGCTGGGGACTGTGTGGATTTTGTCTTTGTTTTTAATATATTCTGCTTTTTTAAGTGATGTAGAGTCCCTGTTCTATAACTTCCCTCCTCTGGGTGATCTCAACTCGTCAGGGCTTTGGCAAGGGAAAGGAAGCAATCCAAGCTGGAGGCTTCCTGGATTACTGTGAAAGGAAAGTTAAATCTACCTTTTTCCTGTCCTGGCTCCTGATTTGTGTGTTGGTCTTTCCTGGTCTACTTGTCAGCCTAATTGCTTGGAAAAGTCCTAGAAATGAGGAACTTCAAACTAGCAAATTGTCTCCTCATTCCTCTGTAAGTTCAGAGTGTCCTGGGCAGTCTAAGTTTTGGATTGCCATGTCTGCACTGAAGGGTTGGGCTTGTAAGAGGCAAGCAGAACAGGAATCAGTACCAAAAATTGGAAAATGTTAACAAAAATAGAACTAATGAAGTGGGTTTAATTCCTTCTATCACTCATCAGTTGTGTGAAGTTAGATAAATCACTTTCCTTCTCTTTAGATTCCTCATCTTCAAAAGGAAAGGAGAGGTGAATTGGGCCAGTAGTTCTCAGATGTGGCTGATCTTCAAAATCACCTGGAAAGCCTTAAAACAAACACACACACACACACACACACACACACACACACACACACACACCCACC